CGAAAGGTGAAAACAAATACAAAAGAACTAGAGTTAGGTCCATTTTATAAAATATAATTAATATTGAAATCCTATAATGAAGTTTTATATCAGTACCCATCAATTTGACTTATTATGATGAGTGACAGCACTTTTCTCAACACAGTTTTGGTCTCAGTGAAACATTTCTATTCTTGGTGATAAAAATCAAATGTATTAATCAAAAGCTTCAAAATAGTGTAATATAACTGAAGTCTGATTGATTTTGATTTCCCTTGCTATCTTCAGTATAGGGAAAACGGTACTATTTATTCTGCCATAGGCGACAATACTAACATTTTCTAAATTTACCACTTTTTATAATAAAAACCTGGACAAAACAGTTATGTGTGGTGTTAGTACTTTATTACTCTGTTTTAAAAATTGAAGCCAAATAGTATCATGACCAACTTCCAACGGAGCTTGTTTATGTTATCCATGCCCACCGTCATTTTGCATTAAATTTATGAAATTTTGGAAGTCTTTTCGAATAATTCTCTAGAAAATATTTCAATGGGTTTCAAAATTTATATTGTAAATATACACACTGTAGTTATTCATAGATAAATACAAAAATATATTGTACCCTTACATCCAATCACAGCGCTCCTAAGTTGACTTCCTTCACCTGCCTTGGGTACACAAAAGGCCAACCTAATGCTGGGAAAATGAAATAGTACCGTTTTCCCTATAGGTGTTAGCATGGTAAATGTGTGTAAAATAATTTTGTGTGTTGTTTCGTGGTCAATATTTTCAAAGTGTCTAGGTTATAACAATATATGCATTTATGGATAAAACTGATTGAATTAAAAGGCTTGGGAATTTTACAAGTTTTGCAATTTCAATGATTATTTTAAAATACATTTCTGTTTTTTGCAAGGAAGTAAATTGATCATACATAATATGCATATTAAAACATATTTATAGAACTAGATAGAGTACAAAGGAAAATGAGATATATAACTAAAACGTAACTTAATTGAACGAAATGAATAACACTTATATTAAAGCAGAACAGGATCTATCATATAAAGAATAATTCATGGTGTGATTATTATCATAGGAAAAAATAAAATGAGTCAAGTGGTTCCAGCTGTTTTCTGTCCTAGTGAATCTTTTATTTTATATAAAGAACATGTTTTCTATAAGCATGTTTTCTACCAACGTTCTGTTTGTTTTGCGTCTATAGATTAATTAATTCGCTAGACGAATTAGTAGATTTCTCGTTTAGTTTTATCATAGTTATCCAAAATATCAAATAAAACAAATTCAATATTGAAAGCGTTTGTTTGTTTTATTTCTTTCTTTCTTTTTAAACTCCACGAGTTACAAAAATATAAGAACTATAGAATGATGATCATATATCGCGCCAGCAAAAACGGTATGATCACTTTCATCGATTTCACCAGAGGAGAAAACAGTAATTGTTTTACACGTTCACTGATTTCAGAAATGTCTTGAACATTTATCGTATATTTGAACTTCCGACATAATTTTCGCCATCTTTTGTTTGCTTGTCCTCGTTTATAAAATATAATTAATAGAATCATAAAAAAAACATGACATCATAGATGTTTTATAATTATCTCTTTGTCTTGACATATTCGAGGATTTTAGTATCCTAATTACATAGTACTTTTCAAAAACAAATCCGATTTCGAATGGAGACAAAAACCTGATCCAAATCAAAACCTCTGTTGCTTTGAGGACATGCGATAAAGAAATAAAAAGATTTCCGACCTCTACATATCATCTGGCTTTCGCAATGATGGGGTGTTGTCTCGCTATATTCTTACTTGACAATGTTTTCATCTTTCATGGGGCCTCGGTTGCCGAGTGGTCTAAGTAGTCGAATTATCATGAAAACAAAAAGTAGTCGAACTCCTTGATCACTAGCCTTTCAACACTGAGGTTTTGAGTTCGAATCCAGCACGCAGCAGGTGCACCCGACTCCAATCTTTATTGACTAAGATAGTCAGTGTTCTAACTGGAGGTCGTTGGTTCTCTTCGGGCACTATGGCTTCCTCCAACAATAAAAATTGACTGCCAAAAAATAACACAATAGTGCTGAAATTGGCGTTAAACACCAATCAATCAATCAATCATCTCTTTTCTGAATCGGATTTTGCATACATTTAATGAATAATAGGCAATGTAGGCTACTGTACATGTGTTTGAATTTTAGATTTTATCATCTGCGAACATGGTTTACAAAATGCATTTTGATGCAAATGCAATAATTATAAATATTAAAAGTATGCAAAGGTATTTTCAATATCTTGATCATTTAGTAACTGCAAGATTATTTGATATGATATTTCGCTTTAATGTTGCTTTCTGTAACGTAATAATAATTGATTTATTTCTGGTATTTTATATATAATAATGATTCTTTCGTAAATGAATCGGGCAAAATTCAGATTTCAGTTTTTACATTTGAACTGTGCTTGGTTATTCTTTAATGTTCTTCAAGTCAAGCATTATCAAATTTCTAACTTTACAGCATAGGACCGGGTGAATCAAACAGCATACATGTACAAGAACATCATTAAACATTTCAAAAACAATTTATTAGAACGTAATTGTTAGCAAAATTAAATATAAAACACGAGTATTTAAAATAACATCCATGTTGGTAATAAGGAGATATGGTACACACAGAAGTAATATATTACAAACGCAAACTGCAATATGTTGTAAATAATAGTAATTTCTAATAAACACGTCCTTGGTAGAAATGAGTTATGAAAAAAAAATATTACATAACAACAAAGTTTAGAGTATTCTGTGTAAGAAAAAAACTCTATGATGATGATAACAATAAATCAGATGTAGATATGTTATATGGAACTTTAGCAGAGAGGTTGAAGGTATCAAAGAGATATCCAACTCATAATTGGAAGACAAACTGATAACGCCATGGCAAAAAAACGATTAACGACAATGATATCAGCAAACATCTTCAAACACGAGAAAATAATAAAGACTGAGCAACACGAACCCCATCAAAAACCGGGGGTGATCTCAGGTGCTCCGGCGGGATAACAATAAATCATTTTCTAACTCATCAGATCTAAAAGAATAATAAAAAGTTTAATCTGACAAATCTTAATAAATTTTGAAATTGAGCGAGTGACATTCGTTGATTAAGTTGGAAAACCACCAAATAAAAAGAATTTGCCTTATGTAACAGTTTTTAGATCTGTTATAAGGTTAATGTCTCAGTTTTGTCATTGACATATATCATATCCCACATCTCCGGTTACTTATTTTCAGTTTTCTTTTTAGAGTTCACAACAGTTTAGTATCGATGAAATATTTTACAAAATAAATATTAGAAGACGATTGTCATTTACCATCACAATTACATTGATATCTACCTTTCAGTTGTCCTTGAATATTCGTCTCATGGAAAAAAAACAACATTTTTTCGTCGTTTTGTATTTTATTTCATGGCGTTATCAATATCTCTTCTACTTGCGAACTTAAATGTCCCTTTGCTATCTTCCGCCTTGTTTTTAATAATAAAATAAACAACATGTATTTGATACCTAATTGCATTATAAAGTTTTGAATGACTAATGATTGCATGGTTTAGCTTGAGGCTATACAAGAAAATCAAATTAACAGAAGCAGCAAATTTCAATAACACAAACTGAAAGCACAAATGCACACATGGTCAAAGTAAAATAACAAAAATATCAAACTCCGAGGAAAATTCAAAACGGAAAGTCCTTAAACAAATGGCAAATGAATGTTAGATAAAGAACATAATTATATGACAGTCATTTTCTTAAATCTTTTTTTTATTTCTAAGTGCAAAACTACCATTGTAACAAAAAATCAATAAACATGATTTTCTCAATTAACATGTTTTTCTTGCAGCAAAAGCCAACTCTTCTGTTTTAATATGACAAAAGATCATATTAATCTCTAACTGCAAATCCCTATTCTTATGTTATCATTTTGAATCTAAGGACTGATATGTTCTCTATATTCAGGATTTCCAATATAATCTTTATCATTAATGTTTTCCCTGAAACTTATCTTAAAAAAATAATGTACTTCAATCAATTAGATTTAAATTAGATTTCTTACAGACAATAATAAATTCTTTGATAACAAGTCAGCATATTCTGATTGATTGTGAACAGCAATGTACTAAACATCATGTACTATCATGTAAAAACTAATCTCATAATTAAAATATAACCAACACTTTATATAGCTAAATACCAAATTCAGGTTTTATACAAAAGAAGTATATACAACTTAACTATAAAAATATAGTCTTAATAAACGTGTCTATACAAACAATTATGGAATATTTAAATGAGCATTGAGAGAGAAAAAAACAATTAAATAAAAAAAAGTACTGTTTTTACACTTATAAATCGACAATAATAGCTAAATATTTAAGAATCCACGTTTCGGTATTGTTTCTTAAATATTCTATTTGATAATCTACCTATACAAACATTTTCATCAATATTAATGCTCTACAAAACTTACAAAAGAGACAGTTATTATCCACTACATGCAGTGTGTAAGGCCACATATATATTAATGTCCTCTACTATTGCATTATTTTACATATTTTTATTTTTATTTATTAATAAACTTGCTGAATATTTCACCATTTATGTAGTAAAATAATATACTATATTAGTCTTTTGACATCAAAGAATGCAAATGACCGCAAATTATCGTTTTTTTTTGTTTTTATTTTGATTCACAAAGACAATTTATACCTTTGGTTTTTTTTTCATTTTAATGGGGAAAATCATAAAAGGGAATAATTCTATTGAAATAGTGAAAAACATTCATATCGAATATGTAAATATGTCCAGACTTTAGCTTGCAAAAGCATGGTAACCTATCTGTTTATCATATCTTTGATTAGTTTGAAAGTTTAAACTACAATTTAACAAAGAAAAAGAACATTCCGTTTTTTATACATTTTACTCCTATAAGACCAGGACTTTTGTTGCAATATTGAAAACATTTCGAATAATTAAGGCAACTTCATATTGAAACAAATAATATAAAGTATCATTCGAAATAACAATAAACGTGGTGACAAATATTAATTAACTGAAATAAAATTGGATGATGCTTTCCCTATATTCAACAGGAGGGAGGATCCCTATACAAATTATATTCCATAGATGAGAGATAGAATAATGCATTTCGCATTATTACTTCAGCAAATCAGCAAAAGAATACGCCAAACCCAATCTAATATATTAGGGATAAACAGAACCAATTTTACTACACCCGATACATATTTCGCAGTAATCGTCTCTTCAGTGATGCTTGACTCAGTTGAGGCCAAAATATTTAAAAATCCAAAACATATTTGAAACAATGAATAGCTGATGTACTAAACAAACGACCAACAGTAAAGTCAAACGCGAATATTGATTAAAGTTTAATATTGGAGTGAGTCAGAAAAAAAAATCAATCCAAATCATTATACTGTGACTTTTAAATTACTTTTCGTAGAGTTCCAAATTTTGTGGATTTCATAAGAATAGGCAAACCAAGAATGTTTGTATTCAACGAAGAAAAATTTCCGAAAAGATTGTATACACACTTTTGCTAAACGGTGAAATCAAGTATCCACGAAAACCCATTTCTTTGTTTCAATCCACGTACGTTAATTGGTACCCACGTAATAAATGAATCCATAGTATAAATATCTTTGAAAGATAACTACTCTGTGTACATATGTCGTTCAAAGAATGAAAAATAACTGAAACTTCACAACATCAATATCGAATAGTCTTAAATGTTACAACCTGTCATCGTATGTTGCCTTTTCCCGTTTTAGTTTACACCAACGCGAGAAATGACTGGAATCATTAGAAAAGAGCATAAACTGTTGTTCACCTAGTCGTCCCGATGCCCTTTCAATGACATTCTCGATGTCGTAAACATTATAGTCTGGTGGACCATATTCCAATAACTTGAAGCTGCCATCAAAATAGACTCTCAATTCGTCTCGTATAATTGTCCTATGCGATAAAATGCCACAAAACGCATAATGTGCAATGTAGCATGTAACATGAGATTCATTGACATCTTTTATGTCTAAGATGACAGCATCATGCCACAAGTTCCAGTAACTGTACCTTATGATGTTTCCCCTTTGAACATCTGCTGCCTTTTTTATTGGCATAAAATTTACGTCAAATAATAGTTTGTTGATTTCAAAACACTGTTTACATATTATTCCGTGTTCATGTTGCTTTTCATTCCTGATCGATTCATCACTTATCCCAATAAATCCACTTTTCCAAAACAAACTACTGGTTAATCTGAATTTTGTTACTTGAATACTGAATTTTCTTCCTGTAACGCAATATGTGGCAAAATGTTCGCAATTATTATCTAAGAGGTCATAATCGTACTTTCCACTCGTCCCATCACCTTCAACAAAATTCCTTGCTCGTTGTACAGTTTCTTTCCGCGTGAATGGCCTTACTCTGTAAGCTATGACACGAATATTTTGTGTTGCAAAGTTAAACAATCTGGTTGATTTACCGATGATAGCTTTTTTGCCAAAAAAGACACCTGTTACTACTCCAAAAAATGTATTTGATGCTTCTATTATTTCAAACCGTTTGTCAGGAAGTTTAGACTCTACAATTGCATGATGATCGTACACTGTACCAGCAAAAACGATATGGTCTCCTTCTTGAATTTCGCATGCAGAGAAAACAGGAATTGCCTTGACACATTCAATACAACCACTCATTTCTGATAATTCCTCACAACTTATATGTAAGGCATTCTTGTTATCCTCTGTGATTCGATTTGTTGTGGTAAACGCCGCACTGTTTTCTAAATTTGTAAATCCGAAGTCATCGTGTGATTCAGAGTCATCAGGCGTTGGGTCTACAGATGATCCGTCAATTGCATTTTGAACTAATGGTACAAGTCGCACATTTTCTCGCATTGATAAGAACGAGTCAAGTCTTTGTCGGCTTTGTGAACAATTGCTTTTAGAACAATTGCCAATGCGTGATGTTGCTTTTTCCCGTTTTAGTTTACACCAACGCGAGAAATGACTTGAATCATTAGAAAAGAATATAAATTGTTGTTCACCTAGTCGTCCCGATGCCCTTTCAATGACAGTCTCGACGTCGTAAACATTATAGTCTGGTGGATCATATTCCAATATCTTGAAGCTGCCAACAAAATAGACTATTAATTCGTCTCGTATAATTGTCCTATGCATAAAAATGCCACAAAACGCATAATGTGCAATGTAGCAGGTAACATAAGAATTGTCGACATATTTTAAATCTAAGATGACAGCATCATGCCACAAGTTCCAGTAACTGTACCATATGATGTGTCCCTTTTGGACATCTTCTGCCTTTTCTATTGGCCTAACATTTACTTTGAATAATTGTCTGTTGATTTCAAAACACTGTTTACATATTATTCCGTTTTCATATTGCTTTTCATTCCTGATCGATTCATCACTTATCCCAATAAATCCACTTTTCCAAAACAAACTACTGGTTAATCTGAATTTTGTTACTTGGATACTGAATTTTCTTCCTGTAACGCAATATGTTGCAAAATGTTCGCAATTATTTTCTAAAAGGTCATAATCGTACTTTCCATTCGTCCCATCACCTTCAACAACATGCCTTGCTCGTTGTGCAGTTTCTTTCCGCGTGAAAGGCCTTACTCTGTAAGATACAACACGGAGATTTTGTGTTGCAAAGTTAAACAATCTGGTTGATTTTCTAATGCGAGCTTTTTTGCCAAGGAAAACACCTGTTGCTACTCCAAAAATTGTATTTGTTGCTTCTATTATTTCAAACCGTTTGTCAGGAAGTTTAGACTCTACAATTGCATGGTGATCGTACACTGTACCAGCAAAAACGATATGGTCTCCTTCTTGAATTTCGCATGCAGAAATAACGGGAATTGCCTTGACACATTCAATACAACCACTCATTTCTGATAATACCTCACAGCTTATATGTAAGGCATTCTTGTTATCTTCTGTGCTTCGATTTGTTGTGGGGAACGCCGCACTGTTATCTACAAATGTAAATCCGAGGTCATGGTGTGATTCAGTGGCATCAGGCGTTGTATCTAAAGATAATCCATCAATTGCATTATGATCCAATTTGGGTCGCATATAATTTTGCATAGAATAGAGTGACAGAGGTATTTGATCACTATTTAGAACAGTATCAATATTAGTTGAACTTTGCCCCGACATAACTTCTTTGCCTAAACCTGTGATTGAATGTGTTAAAGTTCAAAGAGTTTGAACTTTATTGTTCTTTCATTGGATTGACCTTGACCTATAATCGTTGATTGATACAATAAGACAGAATCTATTTCTTCTGTTAACCATTACTGTTCTGATATCACAACATAGAATATTGAACTGGCTTCAAATAAACTCGTTTTCCTTATATGACATTTATTTCATAACAGCCGATGTAACATGTTCTGGAAATCCTTCGGCCATATTGGACAAACACATTCAAAAGTATTACAAAGATTTCAATTAAGCACTTACGCATCAGTAGTTTCACTTTCTTAGTAGATGCATCACTTCAGGCCCATGCTACTCTCTGTTTGGACGGAGCTGATACTCACAAAATTTGTGTCTCACTAAGATGCTATTTCAACTAAAGATTTTTTTACGGAATATCTTATTATAATATAATGGTCACTGAACTGTTTGTTATTAGTACATTCACACCATACAATAGCAACGAGTTGTACATCATCGTTTTGTACCATTCTAGAAGGAAGGAATAGATACGAATTGTTAAATAGATGTGTGAAATTAATATACAGGGGACTCAAAAACCATATCTTAAAACCGATCTGAAAAAAAGCATCTGAATGAATTTTGCAGCAAAACGTTATGAATTTAATCATGTTAATATTAAGATGTCTTTCTGGTTTTTAATTAATGTTGTTTAGGCTCCATCTTTTTCCTAAGTTTGTCATTTGCATATACTGTATAAATAAAAACAAATTAATGGACGAGAACATTTTACCCTGTGTCTATCATCTGCATATGCTGTATAAATTATAAGAAAATGAACGGACGAGAACCTTTTATCTTTGAACTTCCATCTACACATATTGTATAAAGGATAAAAAACTTAACGGACAAAAACGTTTTACCTGTATCTTTCATCTGCTAAATCAGTGATAAGAAAATTAATGAACAAGAATATTTACCGTGTACGTGTATCTTTTATTTATTCGTGCATGCTGTACATTATACTATATTCTCGTCCAGAAGAAATTATTCATTGATTCACTAATCCATCCCTACATCTTTTTATAAACATGCTGTTCACAAAAAAAGCGAGACCTTTCCTTACATATTCATACGAGAAATTTTTACCCTGTATCTTTTCTTAATGTATAATGTATCATGGGAAGATAACTCTTTTATTTGTTTCTTTTATTTATGCACGCCGTATCATGGGAAAACAGAAAGTTTTACCCTGTATCTTTTATTTATTTGTATATTGTATCAAGGGAGAATTAAGAGAACGTTTTAATGTACCTTTTTTATTTATGCATGCTGTATCATGGGAGATCCAAGAAAGGTTGCCCTGTTACAGTTTCCACTAGACGTTATTCATCGATTAGCCAATCCATCCCTAGATCTTTTAATATACATACTCATGATGCTGTTCACGGAAAAGAGAAAGCTTTCCTTGCATATTCATTTGCATGCTGTACCAGAAAAATATGACAACGGACGAGAAAGTTTTACCCTAAATCTCTTATTTATACAAGTTGTATCATTGGAGAAAAGACCGTTTTTCCGGTATCTTTTATTTATTGCAAACTTCATTATTGGAGAAGAACATTTTATCCTATATCTTTTATTTATGTACAATATACTGCATCATGGGAAAAGAGCACATTTTACAAGAGATGGTCTTAAAATGTATTTCTTATTTATGAATACTTTTTCATAGGATAAGAGAAAGTTTATTTACCACGCTGTATCATTGGAGAAGAGAACTTTTAACCCTATATCTTTTATTTCTGCATGTATCATGGGAGAAGAGAACTTTTGGATGTATCTTTTTTATGTATGCATGCAGTATCATGGGCGATCTACGAAATTTTTCCCTGTAATAATTTTCACTCTTGACGTTATTCATCGATTCATCAATCCATCCCTTCATCTTCTTATATACATGCTCATAATGCCGTTCACAGAAAAAGAGAACTATCCGTACATATTCATTTTCATGCTGTATCAGAAAAAATATTAATAACAAACGAGAATGTTTTACCCTATATCTTGTATTCATGCATGTTGTATCATTGGAAAAGAGAAGGTTTTCCCCTGTAACTTTTATTTATCCATACTGTATTATAGAAGAACACATTTTACCCTATATCTTTAATTCATGATCATGGGAGAAGGAAACGTTTTAACCTATATCTTTATTTATGCATGCTGTACCATGGGAGAAGAGAATGTTTTTTTCTGTATCTGTTTTAATCTAGGCATGTTGTATCGTGGAAGAAAAGAAAGTTTTTTCTGTATCTTTCATTTTTCATTATTTAAGCATTCTGTATCATGGGAGATCTAAGAAAATTTAACCCTGTAATGTTTTACTCTAGACGTTACTCATCGATTCATCAATCCATCCCTGCATCTTCTAATATACATTCTCATAATGTTGAGAACGGAAAAAGTGAAAGATATCCTTACATATTCATTTGCATGGTGTATCAGACAAAATATTAATAACAGACAAGCACGTTTTACCACAAATTTGTGAATGCTCTATCATGGGGGAAGAGAACGTTTTATCCTGTAACTTTTATTTCTGTATTCTGAATCATGGGAGAAGAGAATGTTTTCCCTGTATCTTTTTTTTTTGTGCATACTGTACCATGGGAGAAAAAAAACATGTCACCCAATATCTTTTATTTATGCATACTGTACCGTTTTTCCCTTATCTTTCATTTCCCCCATATAGATCATATGGATGACTGCAACATGTCTGGTGACATGTAAGGGACTAGCCAGATGGTTTCCAATAGACCCGGTAATTGATTAGCAGTGGAACTGTGAGCAGTTCGGGTTGATGGTATGCAGCGCTCTAAAAAAGACAAAAGGGAAGAATGTCGTAAAATTGGTGGTATAACAGATCTCTAGCGAAGACCATCTATAATTACTTAGTCGGTTAGCCTTTATATCCCGAGATTGCAGATACGAGTTCGAATCCCGCTGGCAACATCCAGTGTGTGTTAAGAAATCTCTACAATAAACATGTTGCTTGTTTGGCTCTGGCGAAAGATGTTTAATTAAGTTATAACAGGAAAATTAAGGTTAAAATAGTTCATTCACATTCACCTGTTGGGATCAACAACAGGTTCTCAAAATTTGGTTTTGTCTGCTGGGATATCTACCACAGGCCACATAAATTAGATATATTTTCTATGTTATTCGTCAGAAAAAGTAATGAGTAGCCCGCTAGAAAGCCTATAATTGCTTTTTTTAAAAACCTACGGCAACAATGAAATATGAGGAGCATTAGAATGACGGATTCAGAGGGGGTCATTCCACCTTCATAAAGAAGAAATTAAGCATTGCGAAAACATTTCAAAATACCAAATGAATTTCATTTTAATGATATAAAAAGTCGTATGTCCGCCAGTTTCATTGCCTCTAGACCAATGACGAATTGCGAATAATTGCAGGTTAAATATAAAGTGATTATTTGTTACTAAGGTTAATATATAGCAGTTCGAAAACGCATAAATCGGCTGAGAATTATAGGAAAGCATTCAACGTCAATAAACCAACCGCGACGTATAGTAGACCACACTTGCATCTAACTGAAATCGTTGAAACAATTTCATGAATGAATGTTTTTCTCAAGGTTAACGTTAACAAATATATATACCTGGACAAAATGTCTGATCAGCATAATAAGTTTTGTTTACTTCCGATACGTCACAGTTGTCATATTATTAGATTTTGGAAAAATATGCAGTCTGTTATTGGAAAATGTGCAAACTGCTATTTCATTTTCTATTAAAAACAAATTGGGACATTAATTTGAAGTAATTGCTCGATGTACAATATTTGATTTGATTTGATTTATAATATTTAATACTCTAATCAATCCAGGTGCAAACAAGAACTATATTCTATTCTGTCATATAAATTTTTTACGACGATAACTTTATAAGGGTGTCAAATCATACAATTAACAATGTACTGGATATGACCTTGATCCACTACTGATAAAACTAAGCATACCAAAAATAGGCGTCTGTGATTTACCTCTTCCGTTTGAACAATTCATCATGACAAATTAAACAATTAAGATTTACCAGTAAATGTCTTTAAATTTGACACCCTTATAAAGTACTACATTATCTAGAAATGTTTGCAATCTTCGATGTATTTAGAATCTATTTAGGACATTTAAGTGAAAAAAAATATATTTCATCTTCTTTTTATGCAGTTGTACATTTTTAAACTTCAATTTATAATTAATGTGTATTTATAGTCGAAATTTAGAAATCTGTAGTGATGCCACTCCCGATATCTGTAAATCCACGACAGAGCTCATCATTGACATACGGAGAAAAGATTCTACATGAAACAGAAGCAACGCTTTCTTTTTTTGAAATTTATTTTCCGAATGCCAGTTCAAAGAAAGCTGTGGATATAACCAAATTTAATTTAAAAAAGCTTTTTTTCTTTATAGTCAACTGATAAGCTGTACAACTTCGTTTTTTCACAAGCGCCTTCGAACAAACTAACAATATTAAGGTGAAATAAATAGGTATCAACTTGGATCTAAACCATGACAAATTTGATCAAAACCATGACGAATTTCTGGACACTTAACCGAACCACATCAATCGCTAAACCATACCATATCAATTTTAAGTTTTGCTTATCCTGCGCTAATTTCTTAAAAACAACAATTTTAATGTACATAGTTGTACTTACAATATAGATTCAAATATTTTATTTGCAAATTTGCTCATTGCGAAAAATTTGAGGCAATAGTTTTTGGTAGTAACCTAACCAAACCATGACCAATTTTACTAAACTATGACAAATTCACTGAACTAAACAATCCTCGATATGACGACGTCACTACCCGTGATAATGTCCATTTCATAAATCTCCAGTCGCCAATTATATATGAACAGCAACATTGCTTATCAATTAAAAGTCGCTGGACCATGATTTTGTGGACAGGGCCTAGAAATGGTCGACAAACTGAGATGTTCTGATAGTAATGCAACTTTACACAAAATGTCATTGATCTGTCACAATTAGTTCTTATCAAACTGATTTACGGGTAACTGATACAGTTACAGGGGAGCAAATAGCGCTGCTAACGTGAAATGATATTTTTCGCGACGTCAAACTATAATTTGTCGGGAAAAGATCCATTTTTCGACTGATTTTAAGCATTAGCTTGAAAACGAGTACATGGATCCCTTTTTTTGAAAATTGGTTTGATTATGTATGACGAATATCTGTATCAAGTTTCGTTAACAAATTACCGATGGAATTTTTTCAAATTAGAAAATTAAACGGCAAAAAATGCCGTTTTTATCAAAAATCTTGATAATTTGATAAATATGTTTTAATATAGAGTATCATATATCATTGT